CAGCCTGGCATGCGTGTAGCTGGCTCTGCAGGACCTTCTCTGAGGGTACAAGACACACCGCATTCCTTTCAGGTTTCCCCACTCACATGGCCTCTCACTGTGTGTCCCATCTCCCTGGGCCGGTGGAAAAATTAAATCTCGGTATGGGGAGAGCTGGCTTCTGGGGAGGGACGCAATGTTCCCCTTGATTTAAAGGAATGTCTGGAGAGAATCCAAGATGGCTGCACAGGTAAACACCTAGCCGCAGCCGCACACAACAATTTCAATAAAATACAACTAAAATATAAAATGGACATTACCAGGAACTATAGGAAAGTCGACTGACTGGAAATTCTACAACAAGAAGCAAGGAGAAAACCAGAAGGAAGTGTGGAGGAGCTGCCCTAAGGTATGGAGACACACGGCACATGGGGAGAGGACGGAGCCGGAGAGAAGGGGCGGCTGATTGCCTGGCTGGCGTTCCCTAGCAGGAAGGAGATAAAAGCTCCAACTGTGCTGGGCCCCAGTTCCGACTGCTCTGAACCTCAGTTCTCGGCCAGATTCCGGGGACCTAGGCTCAAACAGAGGGAGCTGGGCTGTAAGGCGGAACCCTGGGGGAGTGGCAAAAGGAGGTCCCGGAGGCGCGCACACTGCACTCAGAGAAGGGACGGTTGACTGTGCCGCGGGATTGCCCTGGAGGGAAGGAGACTGGGGCTCCAGACTGCTCTGAATGCCACCTCCAACTCCACTTCCAACTGAACTGAACCCCAGTTCAGGGCTCATTGGGGGAAAGCCTAGACTGTTTGGTAGCAGGTGAAAATCAAGGGCACCTTTCTCTCAGAGGTGCTTGCAGCATGTACTGAAGGACCCTGGGGATTAATGAGATTCAGGAACCGCATAGGGCGGGGCTGACGGAAGCCAAGGCTGTAGGCTCCACCCTGAAACCCCGCCCCATCAGGGAAGCTGTGAAAATACGACAATGAAATAGATCACAAACGAAAGAAATGGAGGACAAAAAGCGACTGGATATAGAGTTCAAATCTACGCTTATAAGATTTTTCAAGAATTTCCTAGAAAAGGTCGATAAGACCTATGAGGATATGAAAAGGGATCAACTAGAATTAATAAGGAATCAACAAGAAATGATAAGGGATCAACAAGAAATAAAGAATACATTGTCTGAAATAAAAAATATTATACAGAGTCCTAAAAACAGAATGGAAGATCGCAAGAATCAAGTCAAAGATTTGGAACATAAAGAGCCAGAAGACACTCCTCCACAGAAGCAAGAAGACAAGAGAATCCAGAAAATTGAAGATAATGTAAGAAACCTCTGGGACAACTTCAAGCGAACCAACATCAGAATTATGGGGGTCTCAGAAGATGAGAGAGAGCAAGATATAGAAAACATACTGAAAGAAATAGTGACAGAAAACTTCCCCCACTTGGTGAAAGAATTAGACTTACAAGTCCAGGAAGCGCACAGAACTCCAAACAAAAGGAATCCAAAGAGGACCACACCGAGACAAATCATAATTAAAATTCCAAGAGCAAAAGACAAAGAGAGAATATTAAAAGCAAGAGCAAGAGGAAAGCAGTTACCTATAAAGGAGCACCTATACGATTGTCAGCTGATTTCTCAACAGAAACCATGCAGGCCAGATGGGAATGGCAAGAAATATTCAAGGTCATGAATAGTAAGAACCTACAGCCAAAAATAATCTACCCAGCAAAAAAATCTACTCAGAATCGAAGGCCAGATAAAGAGCTTCACTAATAAAAAATAAAAAAATAAAAAATAAATAAAGCTAAAGGAGTTCATCACCACCAAACCAGAAGGGGGTTCTTTCGGAAGAGAAAGTAAATAAAGATAAAAATTATGAACAACAAATACGTAACTATCAACAAGTGAATCTAAAAACCAAGGAAATTAAAAAAAAAAAATCTGATGAACAATATTAACTGTTGAATATAATAGAATCAGAGGTATGGAAGGGGAGTGAACTGACGATTCTTGGGGAAAAAGGGAGAGGGGGTTGTGGGAAGAGACTGAACATAAATTGTGCACCTATGGATGAGGACAATGGGGGGTGGGGAAAGGACAGAGGGTGGGGTGGGAACCTGGTGGAGGGGAGTAATTGCGGGGGGTGGGGGGGAAGGAACATTTGTAATAATATGAACAATAAAAATTTATTTAAAATAAATAAATAAAATTTTAAAAAATAAAAATAAATAAAAAATAAATCTCCATCATTTGGGGGCTCCCTCCCCATCCTCTCTCCCCATGTCGGGGGTTGTGGTCCTGGGCAGCTGGCCCAGGGAGAGTACTGGAGGATCCATCCTCTCCTCACTGGATGGAAGCTGAGTGGGGGCAGGGCTTTTGTCTGTTTTGTGCACAGACGTGCAGTCAGTGCCCGTCACACGGCCATGTGCAGCAAGTCTCTGTTGAAGGAGCCGTCTTTGGTCCTGTCGTCACACCACTGTACACAGCAAGAACAGAGTGGACTCTTTGGACACCGTGGGCTACCCAGTGTGGAGTCACGGTCAGCCACGACAGTCGTGTTAAATGCTAAGTCAAGACTGAGGTGATGGGGTGCGGCGGGAACGCCCTTAGGAGGGGTCCAGCAGGCCCCAAACCATAAGTCTGGGCTCTCAGATAAGGACTCCACTGTGGACGAAAGGGGCCTCATGCTCACCTGACACGCTCAGGGGAAGCCTGCATGGCAGGTTTGCAAACTCAGAGACCTAAAGTGGCCACAAAGGATGGTCTGAAATTAAACTTTAACTAAACGCGGTTACGGTGGGCAGTTACATCCTAGGCCAGTATCTTCCCTGACAAGGTCAACCTTTCCCTTAACAGGGCCTATCTGTCTTTTCGCATCTTGGGTAACATACCCTTGAAGTGTCTGAGTAACTTGTAACTTCCCTTTTTCTGGGCCCCTCAGAACACAACCAAATGTGCTGGGCGCCAGGACAGAGACCACAAATGCCTTCATTATCATGTTCATTGTTCCTGCACCCGCCTAAGTATGTGTCCATCATTTCACTTCTCACCCTATTCCAGAAGTTCTCCTCAGTCTTTCTCCCACCTCCTTAATCTATCACCAATGGATTTCATGTAACCCACCTACATCCTTCCTTTGATTGCAATGTATAAATACAGATGTAAGCCCCCATTCTCAGGAGCATTATCTCAATTCGCTGAGGTTCTGCTTCCCGGCATATGTTGACAGTTGGGCTCAAATAAACGCACACACTTTCTTTACAGGTTTCAATGGGTTTTTTACGTGAACACCACTGACCACCAACCTGAGTGGGACCTCCACTCCTGGGGCTGTAAGAACTCAGAGCTCCGACCCCCTGACGCACGCACTGGGCTGTACCAGGGTCACACTCAGAGACCAGCCGGGCTTCCACTCCCTGGAGGCGTGTTGTCTCTGCAGGAACCTGGCTTGAGACCAACGTCTGTCTCTCCACCTGCAGGCGCTCCTGTCTCATAATCTCCCCTCTCTGCAGGTGACCGAACTGGCTTATGGGGAGTTTCCCCTAACAAACCTGGCATGCCGGAAAGACACCTGGGAGGGACTCCTTCCCTTGCTCACAGCAACCACCCAAACATGCCGGTGCCTGGAAGGGAGGGGCAGAGGGTCAGGTGCTGAGTTCCCGGGGGCAGTGCAGGCCTCTTTCTCGTGGTTGTTCCCGTGCCAAGGCAGGGAAGAGAGTGCTAGGCGTGCCCCTTGTTCGGAGGCACCTGTTTCACCCCTTCCCCAATTCCAGGAAGTTCTTCCCATTCAGCCAAATCCCCCTCCCCAGTTCTCCAAACCCCCAAGTTCTATTGTTCTTCCCAGAAAGATCTTTTCTCAAAAATAAAAGCCTCTTTTGCAATACCCCCCTCCCTTCCCACCCTCCCTTATCCTCCCGCCCCTGCAGTCACTTGCACGGTGAATCCAAAACCAGCTCTGGAGCCAGGCTGTCTGGGATGCCCCCACTCAGCTTCCGTCCAGTGAGGAGAGGATGGACCCTCCAGTACTCTCCCTGGGCCAGCTGCCCAGGACCACAACTCCCCAGGTGCTGTGAATTTACCTCCCTGCACTAGCTGTGGGCAAATTAAGAATGATAATACAGGCTGAGAGGTTAGGACAGTGCCTGGTACACAGTAAGGGCTCAGTAAATATCAGCGATATTGGCCCCAGGCTCCCCACCTAGTCCGCAGATGCGCTTGGAAGACACAGGCCTGTGTTCCAGGAGCCTCGCCTGGTGCCCGAGACAGGGGAGTGAGGGTGGGGTGGGAACAGCTTATGGCCTGCTCCTGGAAGTATTAATATTGGTAAAAAGGGCACATGCCAGGCACTGCAGCCCCATTCCCCACAAACCTCTCCCCCCCCCCACACACACACACCTAATGCGCCTCCTCCAGGGGCCAAGGGCGGGTGACTAAATATTTGAATGAAACATACTTCTTTGTTTGATGTTTAGTAATAATGAGCTTGTTTGCCCGGTGAGTCACCAGGTCTGGTTGACGCTCTGTGCCTCCTGTGTGACCATACCATTCCAGAGGCCCAGAATCAACAATCCTGGAAATTCACTTGTTCCGCACACATTCGTGGAGGCCTGGCACCCTACTGATTCATGAGTTGGAAGCGGGTGAACTATCATTGAGAAGCTACCCAAGGGCAGGCAGTTGATGTTTTGGACGCATGCTCCCTCAGTGCCTGTTCTCTGAATTCAGTGAACTGTTACTCCTATGACGTTGTTTGTGAATGAATGGGGGCCAGCTGGTCTTTCAGGAGACCTCGATTTGCCGTTTTGATTACAAACGAAGCCTTTACTAAGGAAGACCTCTCATTCGGGATGGTGCCAAGTCCTTCCTTACTTAAAAAGCTTCCTGTGTCTTTAAAAGGGGGCGGCACCCTTCCCAATGGACCCTAGCGCATAGGCTGAAGGCGCGTGAAGGCCCGCCCACTTTCTGTGACGTTCTGAGCCCCGGCCTCCGATTGCCCGCCGCGGACGTCAATCGCGGGGCGTGTGTCTCGCTGGGACACAGTGCAGGTCTGGGCTCCGGTTTGCGGAGCGGTCGGGTGTATTCGCCTCCACGCCCCCCGCCAAGCCCTCGAGGCCCCTGCCGCCGCCCGAACCAACGGCGTAGCCAGCCCGTGGCTCCGCGGCGCCCTCCCGCACCGGATCGCTCCTCGCTGGGGCGGGACCTGGCCCGACAGCCTCGGTCACTATGGTCAGTGGCGGCGGGAGGCGGGCAGGGGGCGCGGGCGGTGGGCACGGCGGGCGGGGCGGCCCCGGGGCGCATGCGCACTCGCCGGGTGGGAGGGAGTCGGGGCGCGAGGCGCAGGTTCCAGCGCGGACCCGGGGCGTTCGGACCCCGGGGACACCGGGTCGGAATGGGTGCTGGGGGCCCCGGTCCTTCCACGGAGGGCCCTGCGGGGCCCGGGACGCATCACCCCGCCGTCTCGGGTGTCCCCGAGGGCGCCGTCCTGCAAGGGAACCGGGTCCGGGGGCGGCCCCGGGGCTCAGCGTCGCCGCCTCTTTGAGAAGGAACCCCCCAGCCGGCTGCTCAGCCCTCAGAGACACCCTCCCACGGCCACGGGGGGACCTGAGGGTGCGCGGGGGCCGGTCACCGAACATCCCGCCCGCCCGCCCCGCGCAGTGTTTGGGGTCAGGACTCGCAGGGAGAGGCTGCCTGGGGTTGGGATGAAGCACAGGACTTAGGAGTTAGGGCAAAGCCAAGAAGAGGGGAACCCCTGGTTCAGGTCCTGTCTGAGCAGAAAGGGCCCCAAAGACCCTCTGAGCTGAGACCGACCTGGGGCTCGAGCAGGTGGGGAAACAGGTGAGCCTGGGCCTTGAACCTGAGCCTCTGGACTCGCAGTCCAGTGCTCCTGTGTTACATCAGTGCACCTTCCCGGGTTGCAGGAGGGGTCAGGCCACCGCTGTCTGCACCAGGGGCCCGGGGCGTGTAAAGGTGGGTGGCCCTTGGAGGCACAGAACCCGAGTTCAGACCTCACCTCCACCCCTTGGGAGGCCGGGAGGCTCCAGCTGGTCCATCGCCCTCCCTAGCACCATGGTGCTCATCTGTAAAAGGGGCTGCTGTGAGGACCACGGGAGGGGTATGGTACGGCTTTTCCTGTGATCACTGGGTCCTGGCGATGGGCGTGCACAGGCGCCTGGTTCTTTTTTGCTCGGCCTCCTCCCTCCCAGGCCTGGGCATGGAAATGGGTCACTCCTGCCGGAGGCTGCTGGGCAGGGTCATGGGTCAAAGCCTGGTCATGGCCTGGCACGTTCTGGGTGTGACCTCGCAGTCCTGGACAAACCAGCTCCCTGCGGGGGTGTGGCTGAGGTCTCGGGGCATCAGGAAGCACCAGCTTCCTGCTTCTGCCCAGTGCCCAAGGGCAAGGGGCCGGGTGTGTTTGCATCACCCACTAGGGGCAGCCTGGGACAGGGTAATAATGGGGTTAGCCAACCTGGAGCTGGGGGCTGGCGTGCCTTCTGGTCGCCACTGGACAGCTGGGGAAACAGCAGGCACAGTGAGGTCTGGGACCTCAACGTCCGCCCTTTGTGCTGGACAGTGAGACCTCGGACCCCGCCGCTCTGCCTGCCCTGGACTCGTGAGACTGGAAGGTAGAGGGCAGGTGGGGTCAAGAGCATCACACCTTCGCCCGGTCACCATCACAGCGAGGCTTGGGTGCCTCCGAGAGGGAGGAAGTGAGGAACCCACTAAGTAGGACATCTCCAAGGCACCCATGCCTCCCTAATTATGGGGGGGAGGGGAGGAGAGACATACAGGCTGCGTGTGGGTCTGTTCTATTCACTCAGCATTTATTGAGCACGTGCTGTTTGGCAGGCACCGTGTGGACCCTGGGCCGCGTGGTGTGAGTGGTGGGCGGAGGAGAATGGCTTTGGAAAATGCAGCGTCTTCTCTCCTTTCCCGTTTCAAAGTCAAGGAAGGGTCCCAGCGAGAAGACACAGAACCCGGGGAAGACTAGGGCCAGGATGAGGGCCAGACCTGGGGCTGCAGGGGGTGAGGGTCCCATGCTCACTCGAAGGGCATTTGACGTTGGGTGAATGCATGGGTGTCAGTGGTGGACAGAAAACCACAGGGTTCTTTTATTTATCAAACAAGATCCCAGTCACTCTGGGCACTGGTGGGAGAGACCAGGGCCTGTTGGTGAAGGCATAGCCGGGCACAAGCAGTGCCGGAGCTCCTGGTCCGGCCCTAGGTCTGACCAGGGCTTTGGGAGCGCCGAGGGAAGCCAGCACCCTCTGAGGGGGGTGGAGGGGTGCTGGCGGGGCTGCACCAGGAGGGCTTGGCAGCTGGGTGTTGAAGGATGTACCTTCAGGAGGGATCCTGGGAGAAGTGCATCCCAGGCAGGAGGCACACATGCTCAGAGGCCTGGAAGGATGGCTAAGGATATGAGGCCAGATCTCCAGGAAGAGGTCAGAGCGGGTATTTAGGGAAGGACAGTGGTCCATGTGAGAGCAGGAAGCTGGGGGGAGAGCTCAGTCTAGAAATATAGGTGAGGCCGGCCCGCGTGGCTCCGTGGTTGAGCATATGAACCAGGAGGTCATGGTTTGATACCCGGTCAGGGCACATGCCTGGGTTTCGGGCTTAATCCCCAGTGTGGGGCGTGCAGGAGGCAGCTGATTAATGATTCATTCATTCTCTCTCTCTCCCTTCCTTTCTGAAATCAGTAAAAATATATTTTAAAAAAGAAAAATAGGTGGGTCAGAACACCTTGTGCCTTGGGGTTGGGTTTTAGTCTGCTAATGGGAAGGACCATAATATATTTTTTAACCAGTGAGAGATGGTTGACTTTGGCTGTGCAGTGGGCACGGGGCTCTGGCAGTGAGCGCAGTGGACACGGGGCTCTGGCAGTGAATGCAGTGGACATGGGGCTCTGGCAGTGAGTGGTGTGGACACGGGGCTCTGGCAGTGAGTGCAGTGGACACGGGGCTCTGGCAGTGCAGTCAGTGGGCCCGGGGCTCTGGCAGTGAGTGCAGTGGGCACAGGGCTCTGGCAGTGAGTGCAGTGGACACGGGGCTCTGGCAGTGCAGTCAGTGGGCACAGGGCTCTGGCAGTGAGCACAGTGGGCACGGGGCTCTGGCAGTGCAGTCAGTGGGCCCGGGGCTCTGGCAGTGAGTGCAGTGGGCACAGGGCTCTGGCAGTGAATGCAGTGGGCCCAGGGCTCTGGCAGTGAATGCAGTGGGCCCAGGGCTCTGGCAGTGAGTGCAGTGGGCACGAGGCTCTGGCAGTGAATGCAGTGGGCCCAGGGCTCTGGCAGTGAGTGCAGTGGACATGGGGCTCTGGCAGTGAGTGCAGTGGGCACGGGGCTCTGGCAGTGAGTGCAGTGGACATGGGGCTCTGGCAGTGCAGTCAGTGGGCCCAGGACTCTGGCAGTGAGCGCAGTGGACATGGGGCTCTGGCAGTGGACATGGGGCTCTGGCAGTGAGTGCAGTGGGCACGGGGTTCTGGCAGTGAGTGCAGTGGGCACAGGGTTCTGGCAGTGAGTGCAGTGGACACGGGGCTCTGGCAGTGCACAGTGGACATGGGGCTCTGGCAGTGAGCGCAGTGGACACGGGGCTCTGGCAGTGAGCGCAGTGGGCACGGGGCTCTGGCAGTGAGCTCACTGGGCACAGGGCTCTGGCAGTGAGTGCAGTGGGCACAGGGCTCTGGCAGTGAGCGCAGTGGGCACAGGGCTCTGGCAGTGAGCACAGTGGGCACAGGGCTCTGGCAGTAAGCGCAGTGGGCACAGGGCTCTGGCAGTGAGTGCAGTGGGCACAGGGCTCTGGCAGTGAGTGCAGTGGGCACAGGGCTCTGGCAGTGCAGTGGACACAGAGCTCTGACAGTGAGTGCAGTGGACACGGGGCTCTGGCAGTGAGTGCAGTGGGCACAGGGCTCTGGCAGTGAGTGCAGTGGGCACAGGGCTCTAGCAGTGAGCGCAGTGGGCACGGGGCTCACAGTGAGTGCAGTGGGCACAGGGCTCTGGCAGTGAGCACAGTGGGCACGGGGCTCTGGCAGTGAGTGCAGTGGGCACAGGGCTCTGGCAGTGCAGTGGACACGGGGCTGGAAGTGGACAGGCTGGAGTCTGAGACTGGCTCATCCACTCAGTGTGCAGTTTGGGGCATTTGTGGGTGCCAGGCACAGGGATCTAGTCCTGACAGGCAGAGTCCTTGCCCTTATGGAGTTGCCATCCTAGTGGAGGGTGACAGTGTGCAAGTAATGGAGGGAACCTGGGGGTCAGAGGATGCTCTGAAGAAATGAAACTGGGTGGCAGGGAAGTCCGGAGTCACATGAGGAGGAGCAGAGGATGGCAGGCGGCAGGAACAGCAGGTGTGGGTGCTCTGAGGAGGAACACACTGAGTGTCGCTGGGGCTGGGGCTCAGGCGGAGGGAGGAGAGCAAGGCCAGATGGTGGAGGCCTGGGAGCTGTCCCCTCAGGCTTCTCCTGAGGGAGGCGCCATTGGGGGTGTTGAGGCAGGGAATGCGGGCGCCTGGTATACGTGTTAAGCATCCTGCCTTGGGTGCTGTGTCGGATGGTGGGTGGGGGCAGGGCTGGAAGCCAGGAGTCCATTAGGGATCCTGTTGCAGCCTCTTGGGGAGATGGTGGTGGCTCAGGTTGGACCCAGGAGCAGGGTTGATGGGGAGAGGAGAAGAGGACTCCTGAGCATTTGGTGTGAGCTCTGCTGGCTGGAGGGGCCTTTTGGGGAGCTGGGGACCCCTGAGTGGGGAGGCCGAGGTGGAGTGAGAGCAGGGAGGGGCACAGTCATTTGGGGATGCTGGTCAGACATGCCAGTGGCTGATCTGTTTGAAGCCAGATCTCCAGGAAGAGGTCAAATTGTGAGGATATTGTACAAGTTCAGGCATCAAATAAAGGGGGGGGGAGGGGCAGTCTCTAGTTCAGGGTCTCTGCAAGGCCAGCCAATAACTGTGACCCAAGACATACGGGGGCCCAAGCACAGGGTCTTCCCTGGTTTCTGAGCTAAACAACAGAGAAGGGGCGTGGGGGTGGTGGGCTGAGCCGTAGTCCCCCAACGGCGCCCACATCCTAATCCCAGAACCCCTGAACAGGGCACCTCACACGGCAGCAAGGACCCTGCAGGTGTGAGGAAGTTGAGGCTCTTGAGAAGGGGAGATGCCCTGGATTACCAGGGGGCCCCTGTGTAATCACAAGGGTTCTCATAAGGGGGACGGCAGGCAGGTCAGAGTGAGAAGGAGCCGGGAAGATGGAAGGAAGGGACTGTGAGCAAGGAGTGCCGGCAGCCTCTGGAAATGGAAACACGTAAGGAAGTGGGTTCTCCCCGGAGCCTCCAGGAAGCACGGGTAACGATGAGTCTGCTGCTTCGGTTCCTGAGTCTGTGCTAATTTGTGAGGAAACACATTCGGGCTCTAGGCCTTTCCTAAGCCTTTGGCCTCCAAGCATTTTTGATTACTCATCTGAGTAAAAATGTTTTGATCATTACACATCCTATCTAATAAAGATGAAATATGCTAATTGACTGCCATGCCCTCACAAAATGGCGGCGCCCAGTCCTTCAGCCCTGCCTCAGTCCCCCAGTCCCCTCAGCCCTGCCTCATCCAGCCTCAGTCCCCCAGTCCCTTCAGCCCCGCCTCATCCAGCTGGAGTCCCCCAGTCCCTTCAGCCCTGCAGGGGAAGGCAGTTGGGAGCAATCTGGCCTGCAAAGGAGCGATTAAGGAGCTATCAGGCTGGCAGGCACAGTGGTTAGGGGGCAATCAGGCAGGTAGACAAGTGATTAGGAGCCAGTAGTCCTGGGATTGGGTCTAAACCGGCAGTCAGACATCCCCCGAGGGATCCCAGATTGGAGAGGGTGCAGGCTGGGCCAAAGGACACCCCATCACCACCCCCGTGCATGAATTTCGTGCACCGGGCCTCTAGTATTTGTATATTACACATCGCTCCTAAAATAGACATTTAAAAGGGCATTTCCTTACATCCCCTGAGCCATCCCACTCTGGAGACCTAGCCCCAGGCAGGCAAAGCCAGGGTTAAGCCCCTGGCAGCCTCTGGAAGTGATGGTACCTTCTAGGAGGGAGGTTGGCCAGGTTCTGGGCCTGCCCTGCTGCTGGGCGAGCCTGGAGGCCCTGGCCTCTAGGAGTCGGGAACTGGAGGCTGTGGCCACACCATGAGTTGTGGCTTCGGGGCGGCTGGCCTGGTTAACAAGGCTGACTCAGCCCAGGGTGGCCCTGCAGAGTGGCCTCAGAGGGAGGCTGGGCTGGCCGCAGGGGCCCACCAGCACCTCAGAGCCTGGCTGGAGGGTGTTCACAGATGCACTAACATGTATGTGGACGGGGGTCCGCAGGGCGGCAGGAGGTACAGGTGGAGGCGTGGGCCTGAGGCCTGGCTATGGAGGAGCCGTCAGGTAGTAACGAAAGGCACAAGCAAGGGCCCGGGCATTCTCTTCATGGAGGGTGGGAGGGCGCAGACAGGGAGTGAAATACATTCCACGACCATCTCATCCGTTCCTCTGTTCCAAGGCCTGGGTGGGCCCTGGCGAACAGAAGGTCTCAGGGAGTCTGACACGCTGTCCTGTGCCAGGGAAGACCCGGGTGCTTGGGACACTCTGACGGGGAGGGGTGCTTCTGAGCCGTAGCACTTCTCCTCTGTCCTGGATGCTGGGCTCAGGGACCGGGGCTGAGAGGCCGCCCCAGAAAGGCTGTGTGGATGGGGGCACTCTGTCAAAAACTATGGCACTAAGTGGACAGAAAACCCGCTTTCCACTTACAAACCCCCCCATTAACGCCGACCTCTCAGCTGAGAACGGTTGCGTAAGAACCGTCTCCTTGGGTTGTGTGCAGGTACCAGGGCCACAGGTTTTAAACTTAACTGCCAGTGGCTCTCACACCAAATTCCCCTACGTCAGTGGTCGGCAAACTCATCAGTCCACAGAGCCAAATATCAACAGTACAACGATTGAAATTTCTTTCGAGAGCCACATTTTTAAAACGTAAACTTCTAACGCCACTTCTTCAAAATAGACTCGTCCAGGCCGTGGTATTTTGTGGAAGAGCCAGATTCAAGGTGCCAGAAAGCCGCATGTGGCTCGAGAGCAGTTTGCCGACCGACCGCGGCCCTATGTTATTTCTGTGCTGAAATCAGAGCTGTTCCCGGGGCACGTTGGGGGCGGGGCGCAGCTCCACTCACTGGAGCCCTGAGCCTGGCAGGCAGAGCGGAAGGCAGAGGCATGGCCTGTGGGGAGTGGTTGTTAGGACAGAGTCTCCTGCACTCTCCCTGGCTCTGAGCTGCCCACCGCTGCCATCACCTGCTTCTCTGCCTGCGACTTCTCAGCCGTCCTGAGGCCCCAGCCCAGTCTCTGGGTCAGGAGTCTCTCTGGGTTGGAATTGACCTACTAGTCTCTGAGCTGGGCTGCAACATGAGTTCTCACCAGCAGGTGGCGCATCCGGCCAGATGCTACCACGTCTGCATTTCCAGCACTGCTCCGTGCAGGCTGGGTGTTGGGAATCGCTGGGTGACTAAAAGAAGGGACGGAGGAGTGAGTGAGGTGGGAAGGACAGAGAGGCCAGGGAACATATCGTGCCCCAGCAGGCATTACATTCTAAAAGGTGAATCAGTCCGGCGGGTACCAGATGGTGCCTTCCACGGTGGCCGACCGGACTCCCTGCCCGGGGAACAGGGCATGCAGGACGCTGGTAACGTCTCAAACGTGCCTTTTGGGGGGAGGTGACAGTCCTTGAGTCGGGCAACTAGCAGTTCAGAGGCTTTGAACTTGGTGAGGGCCCATCGGTTGCTTCTGAAATGGCCCCAGCTTTGCTTCTTGTGCTTTCAGAGTGAATCATCGTTCCACCTAATATCAGAAAAATGTGACATTCTCTCAATTCTCCGGGACCATCCTGAAAACAGGATTTACCAGAGGAAGATCCAGGTGAGGCAGGGGGTCGGAGGAGAGGACCCAGGTTGGGAGGCTGAAGGCGGGCAGCCTGAGGGGCTGGAGAGGTGTTTGGGGTGGGGGGGGGGGAGAGTTAAGGGGAAGAGAAGCTGGCTCTGACAGCACATGACAGCGGGTGATGCTGCAGACGCCCACATTGCTCTGTCTCCCCACAGGAGCTCAGCAAAAGGTTCTCCGCCATCCGCAAGACCAAGGGGGACGGGAACTGCTTCTACCGGGCTCTGGGCTATTCCTACCTGGAGTCGCTGCTGGGGAAGAGCAGAGAGGTCCTCAAGTGAGTGGGGCGGGGCGGGGCACTGAATCTCCAGGAGGGTTTGTCCTTGGTGCAGCCCACGTAACCCACGGAGTGGGCTGGAGGGCTGCCTGGCAGCAGCTTTGATGTCCGGGGATGCCCAGCTGCCTGCCATACTAGAGGTGGGGGCAGCCAAGTGCCCAGGATGGAGCCACGGCCCTAACCGTCACAGAGCACCCAGGGGTGGCCTGTGGCCCCCGGTGTCCAAACCCCCCGGCTAGGCAGGTTTTTCAGGGCGGCCTGCGGACATGGCGGGCGGGATGGCTGTGCGTGGGGCTGGCCCTGTCCCGTGCTCTCTGGGATGTTCAGAGCATCCCTCGCCTCCACCCACTGCAGGTTGGGAGCACCCTCCTCAGATCAGGACAACCAGAATGTCTCCACACATTGCCAGGATCTCCCGGGACAAGGGAGTGGGGAGGGGGTGATGGCGGGGGAGGGGGGGGAGGCACCCTGGTTGAGAACTGCTAGGTTAAGGCCATCACCTCCTGTTCCAAAGACAGATCCTCTCCAAGGGGATGGAGAAACGAAGCCACCGGGTCCTCATTTTGAATGAGCCATTCATTGCGTTTTCTGAGTGACCTTGTGTTTCTACCACATGTACACAACCGGCAGAGAACCCTAAGGGCACATAATAGTAAAATGATGAGTTTTGAATATTATCTTTGTTTTTAGCATAATTTAATTGTGAGTGTATGTAGTTGATCTTTAAATAATGGCTGTGTTTAACACCTGGCTGGCAAAAGTCTTAAAAATGTAACAGCTCTTGTGAATGGGAACAAACCGTCGCTAGCGCACCACAGAGAAGCGTCCGGCTGAGGGGACAGTGGGGACTAAGGGGTGAGGGGCACGTGGGGAGTGGCTGGAGGACTGGGCTAGCGATGAGGTTGGTGAGCGAGGCGGGACACCGGTGCTGAGGGGGAAGGCTGTGGAAGTCACTTGGACGCCCCTGCAGAGAAGCGACCAGGAGCGAGGCGAGGCGAGGCACGGCCCAGGCCAGGCTGGGGATGAACCCTGGGGACAGAGGAGGGACGGAGCCAAGAGGCCTTTGTCTGGGGGCAGGTGGTGATTACCTCACCTTCCTCATCCGGGAAATGGGTATAATACCCACCTCCCTGAATTGTACAGTGAGGACCAAACGAGTCAGTGTGTGGCCCACGAGGCAGTGCTCCGAGAGGCAGAGACATTCTTCCCCGGTTAGGGACACACCTTCTCGTACGGCGGGGCAGCTGGTGAGAGGGGACGACAGCTACAGGGCCAGCCGCGCTCCCTGTGTTTCCCTGTAAGCATCCACCTACCCCTGTAGGTTCAAAGAGCGTGTGCTGCAGACCCCACATGACCTCCTGGCTGCCGGCTTTGAGGAGCACAAGTTCCGAAACTTCTTCAATGCTGTGAGTTAACCTGCGGACGGCCCGGCCTTCCCGCTGACCCAGCAGGCAGGGTGGGCTCCGCCCGAGCCCCTTCCCCGCCCACGGCTCTGTGGTTGTGCCTCACTGGCTCCCCCCAGCGGGCAAGGACTGAGGGGTGCTTCCTGCTGGTGGGGATGTGGGGTGACAGGGAGCTCAGAGCCCTGCCCTCCCTCTGGGAGGAGGCACCTCGTTAGTGTAGCTTTCAGGCTGGGAACCCCCCTCTCAGTCTCTTCCCCCCAGTTCCTCTCCCCCGGCCCCATTCCTGAAGCGGGGCTCTCTGCTCAGAATCTCTAAGTAACAATCCCAGTGAGTGACGGAGGGACACCCCCACTGCTGTGCGCTAGACCTGACTCCGGCTGAGTCACTGGGCCGAGTCACTCATTCCTTAGCTTTGCTGCGACCGTGACCTAAGGATTTAGAAGTGAGGGAGTGGTGGCAGGCACCCCGAGGGCGGAGGGCGGAGGCGGGGCGCGGGGCTGGCTGTGCCGGCTGACCCCCGCGGCCAGTTCTACAGCGTGGTGGAGCTGGTGGAGAAGGACGGCTCGGTGGCCAGCCTGCTGAAGGTGTTCAACGACCAGAGCGCCTCCGACGGGATCGTGCAGTTCCTGCGCCTGCTCACCTCCGCCTTCATCAGGAACCGCGCCGACTTCTTCCGGCACTTCGTCGACGAGGAGATGGACATCAAGGACTTCTGCACTCACGTAGGTCCTCCGGGCTCCGGCTGTGGGGACGCGGCCCCAGCCCCGGGCTCTGTGCTCCGCCCTCACTCCTTAGGGCACTGGAGCACCAGCCTCCCTAGCCAGGAGCACAGATCAGCCAGCCAGCATCCTCCTCCGTGAACTGCCTGCCTGAACTGGGTGGCTCTGGGCCTCAGCTCTCCCATCAGAGAAATGGGGCTTCGGACTGGACTGTGAACATAACTAAGGGGTAGCAACCCCAGAGTCACAGTGGCCCCAAGATGTGTGTCGTTTAGGATGGATAGCGTGAACCTGACAGAGCTGCCACCATTTAAACGCTGGGCGATTTTCAGAGGGAAAATCTGGATTTCTCCGGAAGATGTAGCTCCCAGGCCACACGCACTCCTGCGTGGCCATCACCAGCAGCAGCAGGGGCTCGGAGGCAGGCACGCTGACCCGGGAACGCGAGAGCCGGGCTTCCTCCCTAAATCGGGGTTTTCCATTTCGGCCTTTGCAGGAAGTGGAGCCCATGGCCATGGAGTGTGACCACATCCAGATCACGGCCCTGTCCCAGGCGCTGAACATCGCCCTGCAGGTGGAGTACGTGGACGAGATGGACACGGCCCTGAACCACCACGTGTTCCCCGAGGCTGCCACCCCTTCCGTTTACCTGCTCTATAAAACTTCCCACTACAACATCCTCTATGCAGCCGATAAACGTGATTAATTTTAGGCCACGAAGTGGAGCCTGTCACCTAACGGGACTGCATTCTGAATGGAACGTTACGGCTTTTCCGTTTTTTAAGCGATTTAGACTGTGGTTAGCAAACAGAGAACACAGCCTCTTGGGCAGTCACAGGGCATGAGGCTTACCGATAACGGGCTGCGGTGGTAACTTGGCAATATTTTTAGTATGTATTTTCATGGAAAGTCAAATGCTTTTTAGCAAGGGGCTGAGAAGCCAGGAGCGCTGGCTGTGCCCCAGGTCCCCTCCGCGGGCCCGGGCCTTCCCCGGCAGGTGTCCTGCCAGCATGCACCTTCCCTGGTAGAGCCGCCAGGGCCCTCGCTCTCTCTCCACCAGGGGCAGCGCCGCTCCAGTGGGAGGAAGAGCTCGAGGCCAGCCGACGCCCAGTTCTGTACAGAAGGATCGAGTCCACTCAGCCCTCGGACTGGACTGGGTGGATGACTTCGGGAAACGTGGGCCACTGAGGCCGATGTGAATGTGAGGCAAATCTTCACGACAGGAGTGCTTTCTCACCCCCAACTTAAGAAGGAAACGGAGGCTTTGATGCCAAAGTCTAGAAAGGGGTCTCCAGCATGGAGTGCAAGCCGTCGGGTCCCTCTACCTCTCTCAGGGCCGGGACTGCCTGCCTGCCTGCCTGCCTGGCCCGCCCGCCTGGCCCGCCCGCCTGGCCCTTTAGGGTTCTGCCGCCGGCCCCTCTGGGACCACCGCTGGAGAAAAATCAGGGTCTGGAACCTTGGAAGTTGTCTGTTCATCTCCAACATATCCTGGAAGCAGACCCCAGCTACCCAGCCAGGTGGACACAGCCGCGCAGAGCACACAAGTGTTTAAGGTTCTCTCTGTCGCTCCTTCGCTCAGTGTATGGGCTGGCAAGAGGTGCAGCAGGGAAGAACAAGGCAAGCCGAAGGGCTTGGCAGTGGGGAGACTTCTGTTTGGAAACTGCCTGGGAGACAAGAGCCCTGGCGGGCAGCCTCCTCATCCTTCTACCCGAAGGGCCTCCCCTGCTGCCTCAGGACCCCGAAGAGCCATGGCTGGCCGGGCACTGCTCGCAAGTTCTACAATAGTTGTCTCGCTCTGCGGGAGGAAATGGAGGACGCAGGGTGTGGAACTGCCCTGAGGGTCACTTCCTTCTTCTCACAGGCTCCGTTCTGCAGGGAGTTGTTAGGAACCACTGGTGCTGCAGCTGGTGTGACGATGCACGACGCACGGAGGCTGGAGCGGACTGCTCCCAGTCCCGCCCGGTGCAGGAGCGTCACACCCGACTCAGGCATCTGCCTTGGCCAAGACAGATGTCAGGTGCTTTCATTCCGGCAGGGACCACATTCCCACCAGCCTCGGGCTGGAATCTGAACCCAAGGGCTAAGTGATCATGTCACTGTCCACAGGAATATAAATCTTACCCTTCCCTCTGGCTTGGTTCGGTGTCTCACCCGGTTCTGGGTGGGAGTGCTGGGCTGGGAGTGCACTGGATGAGTGCGGGGACGTGCTCCATGGTTTGAGAATAGCAGCATCCATGGCCACTCCGCGGGTGTGAGGGGGTCCTAAGCCCCGGCCAGGCTCTCAAGCACAGCAGCAGCGGCCCTGGCCACCACCTCTCTGCTGGTCGTGGCGTGTGGAGCGTCCACAAAAGCAGTTTGCCCTTTGGCAGCGCGGCTGGAGAAATCCCTGAGACTTGCCCGGGGTGTGCTTCTAGCCCTGAGGGCCCGCCAGAGCTCCTGGGAGAGAACCTACCACTTTTAGAGTCCACGCCCAGGAGAGGAGGGCCACGTTACCTTCTCTAAGGGACGCACTGTGGAGAGAAAGCAGTGGCACTTTAAGTATAGATGCTACTCGGCTTAGGGTGGGGCTCCATCCCCCCAAAAACCATCCTAAGATGAAAATATTTTAAGTCGAAAGTGCAATTACCACCTAATGCAATTACCTACCGGGCATCAGAGGTTGGCCGCCACCTTACATGTGCTCAGCCTCCGGTTGGGCATTGATCTTGAGTTTCATCTCAAGAATCGCCTTCCTCTTCTCACCAGCAGGAGACATGGATGGGTATTTTGTAGGCATGCTGGGATGAGAAGACAACAGTGCTGGTGACAGTCAACTACCGAGCATCGGTGCTTTGCCCTCGTGCACTCGTGGCTGACCTGGAGCTGCGGTTTGCTGCCGCCGCCCAGTGTCACAGTAGGGTGTCCTACCACATGGCTAGCCTGGGAGATCAAAATTCAAAGTGCCATTTCTACAGAATGCATAGCGCACGTTTGCACTACCACGCAGTCAAAAAGTCCTAAGCCGGGACAGTGTGTGGCTCGCTCCGATCCAGCCACCTGGTCTAGAGCGCCCAGCCATGCTAACCGTCACTCTTCCTGGACAGTTCTCCACCCACCCCATGCAGCCATCTCTTTCCAGACCAAAAGCTTTGAGTTTGTCTTTATAATTGTGTATTTATTACTTTTTTCCCAAAGGACACTTGGTAAATCAATGGTAATATTTAGCAACAAAAAGAACAGACTATCCTAGATCCTATTTTAAGCACAAAGGGGCCCTGGAGGCAGCCTGGGTTTGAATCTCAACTTTGACACTTACTATGTGACCATGGCCAAAGCACTTCACCTCTCTGAGCCCTAATTCCCACTTTAGTGAGATGGAGACGGGACTACTGAATGAGATTCTAGGGATCGATGGATGGGGACGTTCTCAAACCCCCCTTCCCAAGGGCAGCAGCGGGACACTGCAGGATGGGGGACGCCATGGCTTCCCAGACCATGGTCTAAGAACCAACACATTCCCATTCTGGGCAGAAATGGGGGTGGGGCTCGAGCTCTGAGTGCCTGCCCAGGGGCCCTAGGTCCCATGGGATGTGGGTCAGGCCCTACAGCTTCCCTGGGCAATTGGTGAAAACATTTCCTAGCATTAAAATGGTTTCCATAACAGTTTTTGTCCTGGTGGCTTAGTTTTTGGTATATAAGTGTGTGAGTGGATTTGGTGTGTGTGTGTGTGGGGGGGGGGGGGGGGGGGGTTTGTTCGGGGGAAGATCCAGACACTCAGGAAGTCCTGCCCTTGGGCTGAGGCATCAATACAAACCACCGGCCTCACCAAAGCTTCATTCACCTCATCTGGTCAGAAAAGCTGTCTAGGGAAGCTGCCTCATCTTTTAAAACCTACTCCCATAACATGTTATACCACCAAAATCCTATATAATAAAAGGCTAATATGCAAATTGTCCCCTTGCCTGGTTGTTCGACCAGGAGGCAGGCCTGGCCAGCCAACCTCCTGTGTCCCTCCCATCCCCACCACCACCCAGCCAGATCCACCCAACCAGGGTGGGCCTGCTGGACCCCACCTATGCACACATTTGGGCACCGGGCCTCTAGTAAAAATAATAAAGAATTTGCCATTAGAAGGTATGGGCAGGATGTCAATGGACATTGCTGGACCTGTTCGGCCTCTCATGGCTCAGGTGCTGCTATGGGACCTCGAACATCCCTGAATCTCCATGTATCATTTGGGAAATGGAAAGTCCCTGCTGTCCTGACAGCTGTCACTCAGGCGCTGACCTCACGGACTACAGCTCTTTTCTTCTGCATTCTCTCCGGTGACTCTGGGGAGATACTCTTTGGCAACACCGCTGTCTTTAAAGACTAATGCAATATGTTTAACCTGCTTAGTCGCAAGGAAATATTCACGTTCCATACCCAGCTCTGCCACCTGCTGCTGTGTGAGCCCAAACGAGGCTTAATCAATTAATCAGTCTTCTCCACTACACGGACAGAAGAATGTCTGAGACCTGACAAATAATAAAGTAGCTTGCAGTGCCTAGCAGTGCCTGGCACTTGCTCCACACGCAATGACACCCGAGTCTGAGTTTAGACCAACTATCCTGTTGTAGTTTTCCAAAGGGGCTGAGGGAATACTGCTGCCATCCTGCCAACCATGAGGCCGAGGGAAACCCGCTTAGAAGCCCAGACTTAGCTGCACAGAAATCAGCGCTTCTACAACTGCAGCAATATTAACGCCTCATCCAGACTGACCAGAGAAAGCTGGGGTGGCACCGGGAGGTCGCTGGTTCCCTCGGCACATTTACACACCACCCGCGGCTGCAGAGGCCATAGCAGCCGCCTCTGCTCTCAGGAGCTCAACAAAGGTGATCTGAGTGGCAAACACTGTGCAGAGGGTGGGCATGGGTACTCGGGGGCCCACAGCAGGAGCACTTCACTCTCTTGGGGGCTCAGGGACCTACAAACAGGAAGCAGGGCTCAAGAATGGGAAGGCAATCAGGCCAAGGGAAAAGCATATGCAAAGGCTTAGAACAGGAGAAGGGACGCATGGAATCATGGGAAGCAAACCAGTTCTGTCACCAAGGGGCTGCAGAAAGATGAGGAGAGAAAGGGGCTAGGGCAGGTCTGAGTCAGCATACTAGTCTTGGCTTCTCCACAAGTGGCTCTGATGTTCAGGAAACTTGTGTTGTCCTGGAGCCTGAGGACGGCAACCTCTTCCTACCCACACGGGGCTGGCTCAGACAAAACCATAGCTGTGAGTGAAGCGAGTGGGAGCCCGAGCTAAGGGTTCTGCTGTGGGGAAAAGCGGGAGCACGTGTGAGGACCCAGACGGAAATGACTTCACATTGGTCTACAGAGCACCCGTCTCCTGCTCCATCCACACTGCCCAGTGGGGTAAGACACTCCCGTGTGCATCCTACAGCCGAGGACTAGGACAGAATCCCCCACATGCTGGCTACACACAGGATGACATGCTGGTTCTGTTGCTTTTAATTAAGGAAATCAAGTTGAACATACAAGCCTATTAACACTGAAATACAGAAACACATAAGCTGCTGCTCATAAACACTGAAATACAGAAACACATAAGCTGCTGCTCATAAACACTGAAATACAGAAACACATAAACTTTACTTTAAAACAACACAAATCTGCTTTAGGTCCCTCCTGCCACGGGGCGGTGTGGGGAGAGATTTCTGTAACCGGGCTGACACTGGAGTGAAAGGGA